CGGCGACCTCGGAGGAGGTGGTGGTGGCGGGCTGCTGCTGGACCTGCTGGACCTGCTGGGTCTGCTGGGCCTGTTGGGTCTGCTGGGCCTGCTGGGTCTGCTGGGCCTGCTGGGTCTGCTGGACCTGCTGGGTCTGCTGGGCCTGCTGGGCCTGGTTGCTCTGGCCTTGCTGCTGCTGCTGCTGGTTCTGCTGGCGCTGCTGATCCTGCTGGCGCTGGTCGCTCTGCTGGTCCTGGGTGCCCTGCTGGTTCTGCTGGCGCTGGCTGGCGGAGCACCTGTTGTTGCTGGTGGCCATCGTGATCTCGCGGTTGCAGAGGGCCTGGGCACCACCGGGGATACGTTCGATAGGGACCCTACACTCAGTACCCTGGCAGTACTGGTTGAAGTTTAGGGTGGCGGGGTCGGCACTGTTCTGCCTCTCCAAGTCGTTCTGGAAGAGGCCGAGGTTCAGCTGGGTGATGTCGGCGCCGCCCTGGCTGTTCTCGCTGCCGATGCGCGACATGTCGGGGCTGACACGGCTGTTGTTGGCGCTGCGGAAGTTGTCAGGGCTGACGCGCTGTCCCCGCTGTTGGTCCTGCTGGCGCTGATTGCTCTGACCTTGCTGCTGGCGCTGCTGATCCTGCTGGTTTTCGGCGGCGGCGGCGGCGGCGGCGGCGTGGCGAACAATCAGGCACTGAGCGCTGGCATCGTTACCGGAGCAGTTCTCGATGGAGGCTTGGATGTTGTAGCGGAAGTTGTCCTCGCCGCAGGTGACCTCCTGCCTATCGTAGCTCAGGTCGTAGCGGGTGGCACCGGTGATGTTCCTGGCCTCGTAGCGAGCGCACTGGGTGGACTGCTCGGGACAGGCCTGGATGCACTGGCTGCCCTGCTCGTCGGAGCCGGTACCGCCGTAGGTAGCGCGGGCGCCGAGCTTGCCGAGGAGGGCGCCAAACCTGGAGTTGGGGTTGGAGTTGGAGTTGGCGCTGCTGTTCCTGTTGGAGGTGGAGGACGCAGAGCACTCCGTGCACATGGCAGGCTGGTACTCGACCTGCTCGCAAGAGCTGCCGGAGGGGGCCTGGGGCATGGCAGACCCGGAGGAGGCGAGGAGCCCGAGGGCGCTGACGATCTCAAGCTTCATCTTGAGGGGAACGTTTGGATTGTTGGGTCGATAATTGGTCTGGCAATTGCAGAAACGTCCGAGGAAGTGAAGTTGTGAGGGGCTGTGGCTGTTGACGAGAAGGAAGAAGAAGACCACCGTCCAGGTGCCGCCCTTGCCATCTTATATAGCCCGACGTCAGCTTCCTCTATTCCCATGTGCTCGTCGCTAATCCTGATCTTGACGACTCCTTGTGAATACTTGTGAAGACACCGAGTCATAAAGCTTGGCCAGGTAGGCGACTAGATGTTCTGAACATGCTCGAGCTTCGTCCAGAGGACCACGAACACCTTCCCTGGACGACAATGCATGTGATGTTTTCAGACAGGCCTGGCTTTAGCCTCCTCCAACGCCATGCCATCAGTGTGATGCTGTTGAGCCCGGCAGCTCTGTGTACCGTCCAGGCACACCCAAGACATTGTTCTCGACCTCTTCGTAGAAGGACTAGCAAACTTTCCAGTGAAGGTTTTTGCCAATTCCCTCGCAGATCTTTGGAATACGAAAGTCTGATGCGGTTCTCGGTGACTTCAACATCTACAGATGTAAGCATGAGTGCTTTTCCAGTGGACAGACGGAACAGGCACTTCCAGGACAAGAACAAGCTTTTACGTACAAGAAACTGTGGCGGCAGAGGAAGAAGACGAAGGTGGTCCTGGTCGCGTCGCGATAAACAAACGTTCAGGGGATGTCATCCAGGCAAGATGGAGCTCAACTTTGGCCCAGCAGATGCCAATACTCCCCTCCGTACAAGCTTACGAGTCTATTCTCAGCCTAGCCTCTCCCCATATCCGGGGTATGGCCCTTTTGGGGTCCTCGGTTTCAAAGTTGACAGGCAAGTATGTAGCACCGTTACGGTGGCTTGACGTAGAACCGTGTCAGGAGTGTCTCTCCGCACCGCAAAACAGGCCTGGGTCGGGTTGAAAGAAAGCCCGCGGCATGTCCCCCCCCTTCCTTCTTTTAACTTCATGCCGTGGAAACTGCCAAGGACGGTGGGTAGCATGATAGAGCCAATCGATTGGCTAAATGAAACGATTAGGTTTCAGGCCTGCAGCCCGTAAACCTCTCGGGACTCTGACTGTGTAGACTGGGGGAAACAGGTACGGCTCGTCGGCGGGTGGCATGTTCCCCTGGGTGAGCCCGTGGCCTCATCAAGCAGCTTCGAGTCTCGATCGACGCCATATCGCATTCAGCGGCCACCTGGGTTTGCAGCGGGTCTTGAGTGAGCCGGCTAAATCCATCAGGTCGAAGCATTGAGTTGGCCGGGCCATGGGTAAAGGGGCAGCTCGCGAAGCCGAGCGGTAGCCTTCTTGTTGGAGCCAGTACTGCCCATTCGAGTGTCGACCATGGCTGGAGATCTCGGATGGGGGGAATGCTGGGGAGCTCGTATTGCAAGCGTCGCCGATTTGGGTTTTGCGGAACAGGGCCGTCACATAGTAAGATGGTTTCAGGCATGGTCGTCATCAGTCATCATAGTAGACGTCGTAGGTGCCCTGCATGGCCTGCGTGCTGACAAACTCTTCGGTTGCGAGGCCGCGCATGAAACGAGACTCGAGATCGTGCGGGTCCTTGTGCCAGTCGCAGGCGTAGTCACAGCCCAAGGCAGCCGTCTCGCCGAAGTAGCTGCAGATGACGGCGTGCCGACACTGCCCAGTATCCTCGCAGTAGAGGGCCAGCGCCTGGAGGCTCCGCAGGCGAGCCTCAGTGTTGGCGGAAGCCTTCGCGTCGGTCCGGATCATCCGGGTGTTGCGCTCAAGGTCCTCGCGGCTGTAATAGAGAAAACAATAGCTGGCGTTGCCGTCACGACCGGCTCGGCCAGCCTCCTGGTAGTACCCCTCAAAGGACTTGGGGAGGCGCCAGTGGACGACAAAGCGGACGTTGTCCTTGTCGATCCCCATGCCGAACGCAGTGGTGGCGACGACGACATCGTAGCCGGGCACGTTGTTGATCCACTTGGTCAGAGTCTCCTCCTTGATCTCCTTGGGAAGCTTTGCGTGGAATGGCCTCGCACCTATGCCCTCCTCTCGGAGAGCCGAGGAGAGAGACTCGCACTCGTCACGCGAGATGGTGTAGATGATGCCGGGCACACTATCCAGACGCTCGCCGGCTCGTTCAAGCTCTGCCCTGCGGTCGTCCTGGCGGCGGCGTTGGTGCACAGCACGTATCCATCGCAGGAAGTCAGACAAGCGGTTGTCGTCCTCGTCCTTGGTATACCTGATCTCGAGGTGCAGGTTCTGGCGCTGAGGGCTCATGAGGAACGTCTTGGTCCGGTCGGAGGAGGCATCGATGCCTAGAACTCTCATGATGTCCTGGCGCACCTTGAGGTTTGCCGTGGCCGTCAGACACATGATGGGCACGTCGGGCAGGGTCTCTCGGAACCATGAGAGACGCTTGAAGTCCCTGCGAAAGTCGTGCCCCCACTCGGAGATGCAGTGTGCCTCGTCGACGGCAACCCTGGCGAGCTCCCCTTGCTGGTGGACGAGCTGCAGACGCTCCCTGAAGCGCTGGACCGAGCAAAGCTCCGGCGTCACATACAGGAGGCGGGTCTTTGGGTGGCCAGTCTCGAGGTCCCGCTGGATTCGGTCCCTCTCGGCAGGCGGGGTGCTGCTGTTCAGGGAGCTCGCATCGATGCCGGAGGCCCTCAAAGCGTCAACCTGGTTCGTCATCAGGCTCAGCAAGGGCGACACGACGACGGTGATGCCCGTGCTGATGACGGCGGGCAGCTGGAAGCAGAGGCTTTTACCAAACGACGTAGCGGCCTGGACGTAGACATCATGTCCGGCGAGGGCAGCCTCGATGATTTCACGTTGGAAGGGTCTGGGGGAAGCCAGGTTTCAGCCACAGGTGCCGAGCCTCGCACGACAGGTAGAGCAGAGGCGTACCTGAATTCATCCTTGTGGAACTGCTCGCGAAGGATGAAGCCAATGTCCGTGCAGGAACTGGTGCGCTGCAAGCGTGGCGGCATCTTGTCTGAGGAAGGAGGTAGAGTTGGAAAAAAAAAGAAAGGACAGGAAAAAGAAAGAGAGAGAGAGAGAGACAAAGCAATGTGCACTGGAAGAAGAAAAGAAAGGAAGTCGTATCCTGCCTTGGGACGATGTTGTGTGACGATACTCCACAGTCTCACGAGGAGGCCAGGTCAGATGAGAGCAAGGCAAACATGGCATCTGTCGTGGTATCTGAACAGCATCAGAAGTGCGGCGTCTCCGTACAGGGAGGGATGGAGGGTTAGAAACGTCTGACTGGGTCGTGGGATGCAAGAAGTATTCAGTCTATAGGCATCGGTAATTGGTAACAGTAGTAGTAGCAGTAGCAGTAGTAGTAGCAGTAGCAGTAGTAGTAGCAGTAGTAGCCTGTACTCCGTCTCATGGACCATTCGACCTCGAACTGTTTTGAGGCTCTGGACGTTGCCGCTGGTTGGGAAGGTGGAGCCCAATGGTGAGACCTTGGAAGTCAGCAAAACGGGGTTGACGCCGGGCCATGAATAGGCCTGTAGCATATCGGATGGTGCAGCGGTGGTGGTGGTGGGTAGTGGGTGACTAGCACTGTAACTTCAGGTGGTGACCACTTGGCTGGTGGTGCTATTACGAGTAGTAACACACACATGCTTGTGGTCGTAGCAGTCGCGATATAGCGCTACAACGCATATCGAGTCATTGACCATGGCAATACAGCGAGATGGCATTACTCGTACGAGTGGGTGGCAATTAGTATAGGCGAGTATTATTGATACAATCAATAAAGCGTGCGCAACAGCCACGGCAGCATGCAGCAGAAACAAAAGGCACGTCGTACATGTGTGTACTCGAAACACGGAAGCACACAGCGCGCAAGCACGCGTCGCGCCAAGAAAAAAATGAAAAATGAAAGAGGAGGAGAGAAAAAAAGAAGGAAGAAAAGAGGAATGGTGCGGGTGCAAGGATCGGCAATGGACAGTGTGCTTCGAGGGCTCGATAGAGACGAGTATCACGGTACATATCATCATAGACACTATGCGTACTGTCACCCCCTATTCACCTCTCCGGGGCCTACCTATTATTATCATCAGGCACAGACTGAACTGGACCGGTGTACGGAGTATGGATACGGGGTATTACTGTTACTGGAGTAATACGCTGTGATAGCCCACATCGCAAGTATTGATCGTATATTACGAGTACTCGTATGTACGTACAGATTACACGTTGCTACTCACGTATCTAGTAATAGCGGTAACTAACGCTATTAACGGTGCAGTTTGTATGGATTGTACCCGACGCCCCCCCCCCCCCNCAGTAGTAGTAGCAGTAGCAGTAGTAGTAGCAGTAGCAGTAGTAGTAGCAGTAGTAGCCTGTACTCCGTCTCATGGACCATTCGACCTCGAACTGTTTTGAGGCTCTGGACGTTGCCGCTGGTTGGGAAGGTGGAGCCCAATGGTGAGACCTTGGAAGTCAGCAAAACGGGGTTGACGCCGGGCCATGAATAGGCCTGTAGCATATCGGATGGTGCAGCGGTGGTGGTGGTGGGTAGTGGGTGACTAGCACTGTAACTTCAGGTGGTGACCACTTGGCTGGTGGTGCTATTACGAGTAGTAACACACACATGCTTGTGGTCGTAGCAGTCGCGATATAGCGCTACAACGCATATCGAGTCATTGACCATGGCAATACAGCGAGATGGCATTACTCGTACGAGTGGGTGGCAATTAGTATAGGCGAGTATTATTGATACAATCAATAAAGCGTGCGCAACAGCCACGGCAGCATGCAGCAGAAACAAAAGGCACGTCGTACATGTGTGTACTCGAAACACGGAAGCACACAGCGCGCAAGCACGCGTCGCGCCAAGAAAAAAATGAAAAATGAAAGAGGAGGAGAGAAAAAAAGAAGGAAGAAAAGAGGAATGGTGCGGGTGCAAGGATCGGCAATGGACAGTGTGCTTCGAGGGCTCGATAGAGACGAGTATCACGGTACATATCATCATAGACACTATGCGTACTGTCACCCCCTATTCACCTCTCCGGGGCCTACCTATTATTATCATCAGGCACAGACTGAACTGGACCGGTGTACGGAGTATGGATACGGGGTATTACTGTTACTGGAGTAATACGCTGTGATAGCCCACATCGCAAGTATTGATCGTATATTACGAGTACTCGTATGTACGTACAGATTACACGTTGCTACTCACGTATCTAGTAATAGCGGTAACTAACGCTATTAACGGTGCAGTTTGTATGGACTGGGGCCTTCCCCCCCCCCCCTCCATGCCTGGTGCTTGGCCCCTGGCGTCTGAGAGCGAGCGAGGGGAAGGGGACCGGGACCACCAAAAATGGATACGCTCCAACCTTTTGTTGGTCTCGTCCTCAACCTCGACCCAACCACCACCGTCCCCCCATGTTCGGCCCTCGTGCCCTCAAGATCAGTCCGGATTGATGTCGGTTTTCTCCCATCTTCTATCTAATCTCACCACAGCCACAGCAACAACGATCACAACGACAACGGCGATACGCTGTCACCTCCTTCATCCTCTGCCGCACCATAATCCATCTCGTCCCCTCCTACACCTGCCCTTCCTCGACCGGACTTTCCATCGTTCGAGGCCTTGGTGATACGAGCCAGGAGAGAGACGGGAGAGAACTGTTACTAGCTGCACCATCCAGCACCCCCCTACCGACGTGCCCTTGCCACCTGGGATCCGCACATCGGACCTTGCGCCGTTCCATACCGTTTTGCTTCTCCTGCTCCTTCTTGTTCTGCCAGTCCATCACCATGACCGACCGGACTGTATGCCGACAGTCTTCCTAGCGTTGGACCGCAGAATCGAAAGCAGGACGCCAGCTGCAGTGTACCGGGCGCCCAGGGACGAAGAGGAAGAAGAAGACGGTCCTCCTGCGCGCCCATCCCTCTCTCGCTCCCCGCCAGAGACCGTATCGCCCAGCCTTGCCTCTTCCGAGTCTCCTACTATTCTCTACATACGCCCGCCGCCCCGTCGAGCTCACAGTCCTTGAGCTGTCGAGCTGTTCCATCGCCTAGATGGTTCCTACTTCCACCTTGGCCTACACGCCACCGCATCTACCCATCATGGATCCGATCGACCGCCTCACCACTGCCCCGGGCTCTATGCCTCCCATGACTCGCGGAGCTTCCGATACTACGGTCACCGTCAACGGGCGACGCCCTATGCCCAACTTCATGGCAAACCCCAACGGCCCGGCACGGACGCCCACTCCCCCCATTTCGAGCCTACGGAACAATTCCACCCCCGGCGCTACCCTGTCTGCTTCCAGCGGGATACCCCCGTCCCAGGTCATCGCCCTCGCTCGGGAATCATTGAAGAACTCGTTGGAGAACGAGAAGCAGGTTGCCGAGGCCGGTACCGTCGGAGCGGGCCTCAAGCCTGGCGTTACAATTGACCTCAGCCGCAAGAACATTCAGAAGATACCGGAAGAAGTGGTTGACATTGTCAAGAACGAACTCGAACGGTATGTGCCCTCTCCGCTTCGGACGTGAAACGTCAACCAGGGAGGGGGAGAGACCTTTCTGACATTCCTTGCCCTCTAGGTTGGCTCTGTCTCACAACCAGATCTCGTCGCTTCCCGCTCGCTTCTCCGAGTGCACATCGTTGCGATACCTCAACATCCGGGCCAATCAGATCGTCGACTTTCCGATGCCGGTACGTTGGTATTTGACTCGAGTTTCGGGATCCCGCCGACGCACATGGACCAATGATGCTAACGCAACGGAAATCTGCAGCTGTGCGATCTCAGATCCCTCGAGATTCTCGACCTGGGCCGTAACCAGCTGCGTGCCCTGCCTCCTGATATTGTCCGGCTGTCGTCACTGAAGGTCCTGTCCGTCCGCAAGAACGAGCTGCGCGAACTGCCCCTGTGCCTGGCCGACATGGCCTCCCTGCAGGTGCTCAAGTTTGAGGGCAACCCTCTCGTCTTCCCGCCGAGGGACGCCTTGCCGAACCAGACACTCAGCCCTCCACAGGACAACGAGGTGACCGACGTGGTCATGACCGCCCAGGTCAAGCGGTTCCTGAAGCAGCACATGGTCAGCGGCCGCCTCGATCCAGAACAGAACCCGGCCGACGACTCCAGTGAGGGGGCAGAGACGCCCAAGGTTAACCTCAGGCGGAGGGTCAGCGGTAGGTTCCCCGTCAGGGTCAGCGGGGCCGACCTCCCGGATACCCGGTCCCCCAGCACGGGACGCGCGCCTCCCATTCCACAGAGGTCCCACTACAGGGGCCTCTCGCAGCAGAACACATCCACCAGACGCCCCGGTGTCATGCCGTTGACGCTGGGCAACGCCAACGAGAGGCTGCGCAGCAATTCGGAGACGATCCTGCGATCGGAACGACCCGAGAGCCGCAACAGGCGCATGGGCATCGTCTCCAAGAAGGGGCCGGACCTGGGCACCGTCGACGAGACGCAGGCCAACAACCGCTTCAGCCACTACCGTGGGCTCAGCCATGGATCTGCCATGCAGGGCGCTCCCGTGGGACCCGACGGATCGCCGACCCCGCCGGACCAGTACCCGCAGAGGCCCGTCTATGTGCGTCGTCTGTCCATCCTGCCCGAGCGCCGTCGGCAGTCGCAGGTCTACTTCCCCGTCGTCGAGGCGGCCAAGGGCATCCTCTACTCGGTCTTCCAGATCCACCCCATGATCCAGATGCTCATGAGCCTGTCCAACGACGAGACGACCAAGAGGTCGAGCCTGGAGATCGTCTTCTACAACACAAACTCGCACGTCGAGGAGCTGGAGCGCGAGATCCAGAAGCACGACTATGCCGTGGTCAGGAACGACCAGGCACAGCGAGACACGGAGAACGTCTACAGGGCCTGCCAGACGCTGGTGGGTGCCTACGGTCACGTCTGCACCCTCCTCGCCGACAATGCCGACACGTTTGTCGACAATGGAGACCCCAGGTACATCCGGACGCTCCTGATGCTCATCTACAACAGCATCATGGAACTCCGCGTAACCATGTCGACGACGACCGAGCCTGGCAGCGGACCAGACCCTGCCAGACGGACATCCTCGGACCCGGACGCATTCAACCAGGCAGGTTACACGGTGAGGGCGAGGCCGCAGGCGCGCGAGGTGCTGCCGACGCCCAAGACTGCCATCAGGCCGGGTGCGACGAGGAGCCGCAACGGAACGATGATGCACAACCCTGCGAATCTACGGGTGGCCACGAACGTTCCGGTGCCGGCACCGCTGTATCCCGGCGGCATGCAGCCCGACCCGATGACGGCGTCGGCCACGCCCCGGTCAGGCGAGTCGTTTGCGTCGGCGATGAGCCGCGAGGTGCCGTCCGAGGCGTCAGAGGAGGACGCACAGTTTGACAGGATCTTCCTGTCGCTGCAGAAGTCGGCCGACATCGTGCTGCGCACGCTGCCCAACTTCAACGTGCAGCTGTCGGGCCGGCTGCGCAACGCAGCGTCCAGGGGGGCGCCCAACGGCGTGGTGCAGGAGTACAAGGCCCTCATATCCATGTGCAACAACACGATCCAGCAGACCGAGGTGATGCGCAGCCGGCTGTCGCACATCAAGCTGAAGGAGCCCGGGCTGCGGTCCCAGCCAGGATTCTGGAACCTGTGCAGCAACTTCATCGTCTCGTGGACCAACATGGCCTACCGCATCTGGTCCGTCATCAACACCGTGCCCCTGCCGCCGGACACGCGCGCCCGCCTGAAGCCTATCCAGAAGACCATCAAGGAGACGAGCACGACCATTGTCCAGTCGCCCTGGAATCACCTGGTCCACACATCGGGCCCTCGACCCCTCAGCGACGCCAACAACAACGGCGGCAGTGTCAATGGGCTGCCCCTGCCACCGCCGCTAGGCGGATCGGCGACGACGATGATGCCCATGTCCCCCTCGCAGATCACGCCGCAGAGCGCGGCCCTGGGACCGGCCATGCAGGCCACAATGTCCAAGGCGCCGCCCCAGCAGCTGCCCCAACCCCAGCAGCAGAATGGCTCGCTCTTCGCGGCAGCCTTCCACGGCAACGTCTTTGACCGTGCAGACGCCCTGATGGCCAACCCGGGGATATCTATGGGAAGACCGGGCATGCCACGAAAGGGCCACTCGAACCTGTCGTCGCTGTCGTCTGTGTCGTCGCTGTCGTCAGACGGCAGCACCATCAACATCAGCAGCATCAACAGCAGCAGCACCAGCATCGCCGCCAGTACTCCTAACACCGTCGGGAACATACCGCCTCCGCCTATGAGTCCGACAACCATGCTGCCTCGAAGTAACAATGGGAGGCAGCAGCCGCCACCGGCCGCGTTTTGAGGAGAGAGAGAGAGAGACGGGAGGGGAGGGAAGTTGGAATTCGATCCTCTCCCTCGTCTTTCCTGACATATAGTCCACTCGCCTTATATAACTGAGCTGGGCAAGCCCCCAGGAGGGATGGGAAAAGCAAGACACAACTACAACAACGAAAAAAAAAAAAGAAAAAAAAAACGCTTGGTACCCCTTAGGCCTACATGGAACTAGATGGGGGATATTTTCTTGCATAGCAATGGCGTTCTCTTCTCTTTTTTTATGAGGGGTTTTGTTTCTTATACTATCAGAGTGTACATGCACATCCATTCATTCACTCAAGATGTGGGATGGGAGGGAAGGTGGAGGATCGGAGGGCAAGACGGGAAGCAATATAAGGGAACTACCGGGTTTTGATTTGTCGTTTGATGACGGTGTGTTGTGTGTAATGTAGTCTATTCCAACGTTTCTATACCAAACCCTTTCTTATTTCCTCGCCATCTCTCTGTTCCTTGACTGTACAGCCACCCCCGCTTCTCGGTTACATTATGAGATATGGCAAGACGTCAAGGGTTAATAGGTCCCAAGATCGTCATGCAGGAAAGAGGGGGGGGGGGGGGTTCTCAGCACATGCATATGTCATGTTATATCCACCCACAACGTTCCGATCACCTGCGCATACATGTAGGACTGTTTTGTAGTATCTTGCCGCATCCTTTTTTTTCTCTCTTCAACTACATAAAATCTTCCCTGATGAATTGAATGAAGTTGGGGGGTTATTTTTTCAATCAAAAAACCAAACAAAAAAGCGAGGATTAATCACGAAAAAAAAAATCCAAAGAGTCTCAACGTTGGAAAAAAAAAAGGAAGGAAAAAAGAGAGAGAGAGAGAGAGAGAGAGAGATGTCTTCCTGGAGCGTCTCACCAGCGCCGTGGTCAGCAGCACCACCGACGACGACGCCGGCCCAGGCCCACCGCGACGATGACACTGCTTCGACGTCGCCACCATCAGCGACCTCGTCGGGCGATGGAAGCGGAGGCGGCAGCAGCAGCGGGGACGCTCACATCCACTCGACCCTCCCATCCGCCGAGACGCAACGCCAGATATCCTCGGCCCGTTCGGCGGTGGTGGCGTCCCTCGGCAACATGGTGGACCGGGAGCTCCAGTCGCGCGCGGCCATACTGCACGACAACACGCGCGCCCTGGACCGCCAGGAGCGGGACGTCGTGGCCGCCACGGCGGGCCTGCAGAGGCAGAGGGAGAGGCTGGCCCGCGAGGCCGACGCGGCCGCCAGGAGCCTCAAGGAGGTCGGCCACGTGCAGAACTGGGCCGAGGTTCTGGAGCGGGAGTTCCTCGTCATCGAGGATACGGTGCGCAGGGCCAACCGGGGCCGGAGGGAGGGCGGCGGCAGCGGCAGCGGCAGCAGCACCGGTAGCGGGAGTGCCGGTGCGAGCGTCTGCAGTTGCAGCGAGTGTGGGCGGGACGAGGATCGGGATGTCGTCGTGCCCGACGGTGCGGATCGAAAGGGAGAGGATATTGCGGACGGTGATGACGAGGTGGCCGACGGCAAGACTTGGTCGGAGGCTAGTCGGAGCTTGCATGGGGAGTCGAGTACCGGAACTGCATCGTCATGATTTTTTCGTCTTTGGGGTGCAAGGGGGGGTTACGGATATCATGTACATATTATAATAACAATGCTGGCAGAATGAATGGTTTGGCTCCTCTCGGGAAATACACGAGAGATGCATATCAGGTGCGCTGGACATGTGTATTTCCATCTTATTATGCCTGATTTTCACTCTCCAGTCACAGCCCTATCATCCTGTCATTCCCTTTTCGTCTCCTCTTCTTTTTCCTTTTTTAACTCCCGTTTTCCCGACAAAAAAAAAAAAAAAAAAGCGCCTACTTCCTTTTTACACATTCACTGCCTTTTGTCTTTGTCCCAAATCTGATACTTGGTAGGAGATGATTGGACAAACGAGAGAGGAAAAAAAGGTCGCATCTGGTCTTGGCACTCAGTGGACTCAAAACAACCCAGGGAGCATGGTGAAGCGCTTCTTCTTGTAGCTGTCGCCAAACTCCTTGCGGTAGGCACGTTCCTTGCCCTTGGCCCAGGCAGCCATCTGGGCAGTGCCGATGGCGATGAAGAGGATGACGGACCAGTCGCGGCTGGCGACGATGATGCCCACCCAGGAGAGCACCTCGAACATGTAGTTGGGACAGGTGACGAGACCGAAGCCGTGACCCACGGGTATCTTGCGCTCGGTACCGCCGGCGGAGCGTAGCGTCGACAGGTAGTAGTGCACGCGCGCGTTGCCAGTCTCGCCGAACAAGTAGATGAGGGCTCCGACGACATCGACCGAGGGCTCCCGGGCCTTGGCTGCCAGCGAGGTAGGGCTGTACAGGCAGTAGGCGCACAGCAGACCGGAGAAGGCCCAGTAGAAGAAGCTGTTCTTGAAGACGTTGAAGAAGGGCATGGTGCTGGCCGAGAACTTGTGGACGAACATGGTCTCGAGCTCGCGCTTGACAAAGTGCAGGGTAATCATGCCAAAGGCCAGCCACTGCGTCCGAGACAGGTCCGTAGGGGCTGGGGAGCCCTTGTAGATGTATGGGCGGGCGGCCAGGACGGCGACGTGGATCAGGATGGGGCCAAAGTACTCGATGAGGAAGACCGTCTTCCACGAGATCTGGGGGCCTGCACACAGGGAGGGGGGGTGGGGGAGGTCAGCCACCAACACTGTGAACTCTCCATGTTCCGAGAAGGGGGAGAGAGATAGAGAGGGGAGTCTTACCGAGGTCCTTGACCAGAACCTCGTCGATGTTCAAGCTGGCAATCAGGGCCTTGCGGTCCTTGAGAGTCTTCTTGGTAGACGGGTCAAACAGGCCGATGCGGTTGTGGTCTCCGAGGTTTATGGCCTTGGCAACCTGCTTCTTGACATCTTCGACGCTGGTATCGGGGGCGAGCTGGATGGTGGGCGGGAGCTTCTTGATGGGCTTCTTGGGAGCTGCATGGAGGAGCCGGCAGTCAGTTCAGGGTCAAGCTCCGCACATATTGGGGGGTGGGAGGAGGATGATGGAATCGGATACGTACACCTGCTGGCCAGCTTGAGGGTGGTGAGGGGAGCCATGGCAAGTTTGTCGAGCTGCTTGGTGTGCGTGTTGTATGCAAAGTCGAATAAACAGGAGTTTACGTGGATGGACGTGGATGTGAATTTGTGTATGGTAGAGGGAAAGAGAGGGAAAGAGAAGCTGTAGAGAGTGAGAGGTAGAGAGGGATGGTAATATCACAGGTTGCGACGTAGCGAGTAAGCTAAAGAGCTGTCCTGCTTGGCTGTCCTGCTTGGCTGTCCTGCTTGGCAGGGCCGAAGGACCCCCCCCCCCCCCCCCCCCCCAAGGAAGGGAGGGAAATGTGGGGGTTTGTCTCTGGAGAATGGTGACGCTGTTGGGCCTTGGCCTATTGGCTTTTTGGCCATGTCCCTTCATTCCCGGGACCTTTGCTAGACGTCGATATTCCGTGGGTGTAATCCGTATGTATTACCTTGTTCCTTGTTTTTTTTTAAAAAAAAAAAATTATTGATATTGTTACTACCTACGCAGACAGACGGCTCCTACCCTTCATTATTCTACTTTCTTACTATTCGTTACTATGATTATTACTACCACCTACCACTACCAAACTATTACCACCACCACCATTACAGCGAAGCCGTATCCTTTGCTCTGTACATACACGCACATTCACTCTGCACAATCTTCTTTCTGTGACGATGCATCGCACGGGATCCCTTGTATCACGGTTCACGGTTCACACCTATATTCGCACAGAGTACCGCGTCGGCCATGACGCCTGCTCTACCCACCTCACGTCTCCCTCTGAGCTCGACGACATCGAGGCTGAACGACATGTGTCAGATGTCTCTGGAATGAGGACACTCGGTCAGATCGGGCGGGTCGTATCTTCTCCGTCCCCGCGGGAATAATCTATACCTCTACCAGATAACGGCATGGTACCACCAGTACTTGGCCGATGAGACTGCTTCTTTCTGTTGTCACCTCTCGCTCGGACCGGCTCCCAGCTGCTGCCAACTGTCAGAGCGGGATCCACCCATCGGCGTCACCACCATAAGCACATGGTGATGGTGATGGCCAGTCACCCGTCAGCCTATAACCGCCATGTCAACTGTCTACCTTGCGTCTCCTCCTCCTCCTCCTCCTCCTCCTCCTCCTCCTCCTCCTCCTTCTACTTCTACTGCTTCTTCTTCTTCTTCTTCTTCTTCTTCTTCTTCTCCCTCTCAGATTCACCACGGCTTGGGTCGTATGTCGTGGCCCACACGGTAGCTGGATGTAAGCTATACGCGATGCGCGGCCAGCGCCATGCCTCTCTACGTTTCCACCCCGCACCCGGGAGCCTCACCTGCATCTCAGTCTGGGAGAAGTCAAGAGGAGTCGTCCTTCTCTCTCGCCCGGACTCATACCCTTTTTTTCCCCCTCTCCCTTTCCCTTGGCTGGTCTCTGCTAGCGGGCCGTCTTTGGTGAACAGCTGACGGGAAGAAGAAACACTTACAGAGAGAGATCTCCCTCCGAGATCTCACAGCACCCATACCACCTGAGACGATGATTAGCATCTCGGAACACTTCTTCGCCCCTGCCACCACTTCCCTACAGCCTGTGTTGTAGACGATCGGGAAAGCGTACAGAGTGCTCATGCTCACGTCGACTCACTGCAACCTACCGCTTGAGCGACATGAGATGACCCCCCGGTCCGGAGCACGGAATCCAACCACATGTACGCACCCGAGCAGGCGGCGCCAAATCACCTCCTTCGTCACTCCACATCTTTCAGCCAGCCAGATCTTGCGGCTCAGCATGTGCCACCATGCGATCCATACCTCGCCTTTCCTGCCCCCTTTCCCCCGCCGCAGACCACATATGGTCCCAGCTTCTTCCTTGCTCATGGCGGCGCACCCGTCACCTACTTTGGGCCCATACCACCACCGCCATCCGGTGTGTCCTTCCGCGGGGGACCGGAAGTCATCTATTCACAACCTTGGCCTAGCCTGTACGGCCCCGGATATGGGTGCCTATGGTACCCGGGCGCCAGTTGCATCGCTGCCTGGTGTCATCACCTTCCTCCTCATCCACCTCCGCGACATGCTGCCGACTGGCCGACTATCGATGCCAACGAGATGCCACCCCCCCTCGAATGCTCCGGCTGAGCCAGCAGCATGGAGAAGGGCCAGGACAGGCAGCGACGGCTCTATGGGAGGCCAGCCCCTGCTGCAGACGGTCTGGGAAGACGACAGCGCAGTCGGACATCGTCCATGGTCACAGTCGAGAACCTGGGTCAGCCAAGAAACCTTGGAGCGAGCCAGCTTCAGAAGACTCATGCAGAGCCTGCGGTATATGGGAGCTGACAAGTCTCCGTTCATCCCTCGCACCCCGGCGGCCCTGGCGGCCTTTCGTCGTGCCCAATATGCCGAGCAGAGATCGCACGAGCTATGCATCGAGGTCGACTATATGACTGCTAGTAGTGATGGTGGTGGTAGCAGTAGCAAGCGTGGCATGGACGGTTCCGGCAGCAGCACCACCGTCGCTGCCGGTCCACGTCTCCTGGGGAGCAGGAGACTCGACGACTTCCTCTCCCCCTTCTTCGCGCAAGAGACGAGCTTCAACAGGGACCGGGATCACCCCAGCATCATGGCCCGATGGCCTGCGCTACCAGAGCTCAAAGAAGAATGGGGGAAGGATAAGGGTGGTGCCGCTGGACGCAGCCGCCACCTCCCTCTTCCACGTACCGACAACTTCGTCGAAGACGAGTACAACTCTGGCGACTGGGACGAAGAGACCGGCCTGCGCTACCTGCGCCCAGTCGCGTCAGAGGTGAGGGAGGAGGGTGGGAAGGATCCGCAGTCTGACACGGCACTCCAGGTAGAACTTGACGAGTTGAGCTATGCTCTCCAGGCGCTGCTCCTCGATATACAAGATTACCGGTATCAAGAAACCGAAGACGACACGGCTTGTACGCGTTCGAGTACCGGTATAATCCATGACTAGACGCTGCCCTCAATCGGTCCCCATATGGCACATCCCGCTCAAGATAAGCGGCCTGATGCAAGACCTGTCGGACAAGGGTGCCTATATAACCATTGTTTGCTATCGCCTCATTACCAGGGGGCGCCTCCGTCTTTTCCATTATGAGTAGTCTACAGCAGGTCATTCCCAGGAGTTCACGGATTTCTCTGGTTTTTTTTTTTTTTTCCAGACACGACGTTGTGGGGTACGTGCCTTGGGAGGAAAAGAGTAGGGGCAGAGGACAATGATTACATTAAATGTAACGTCGAGTGTCCCTGACGGCGGGGCACACACTATACCGAAGTATGGCTCATGTTTGACGGATAGGTAAGGAATAGAGGGAAGACAAGCACTAAGAATAGCCTATTCAAAAGAGAAATTAAAAGAAAAAAAAATTCAGCCATGATCCCCCAAGGCCATGACATCTTCCTTTCTCGTTCATTGCATGTAGAGAGTACGTGGGAAGCACGATGAAATCCACACATGTCGTCCTGGACTGAAGGATGTTGGTAGGTTCGTGAAAGCCCCACCCGGGATCGTCGTAGCGTTCCGAATTGAGGAAAAATAAGGCTAGAGGACCCGATGACTAAGAGGGTCTTGTACGTGGGGGTTATTCCGGAGCCTGGTCACGTGAATACACGGCAAAAATTGTGCACACATGAAAGCCCTGAAAAGAAAAACAGAGACAGGGTACGTACCCACGGGGCTAGCGAAGCCCCCAAGCCCACAACCACAATTTTTCGTCCTTCCAATTCGAACTTGACCTCCACACCCGGTTCGGCCAAAAAGTTCACCTCTCACAACAACCGACAATCAGATTGCCCTGGTGAGCATCCTTTTCATCAGGTGAGTCTGACCCCCCTGCCTTTTGCCCAAGTTCGGGAGGGACAGATAGCGCAGCGTCATACGAACGATCATCATCGTCTCTACCTCTCTTCCCCCCCTTCGTCGATATCTCTCTTGTTCCTGTCGTTGGCCTACAGCTCCTCCCCGAGTTTTTGGAGTTTTTTTCGGTCCAGCGGCTGGGACATCTGGGATTCTTTCTCCTCCCTCCTTCTTCCCGCCCTCACCTTCGAAAGAAAGAAAGAAGAAGACATTCAGGCTAACCTTTGACGTTTCTTGTCCGAATACAGAACTCGCAATCATGGGTATCTCTCGCGACTCCCGTCACAAGCGCTCCGCTTCCGGTGCCAAGCGTGCCTATTACAGTGCGTAATACCAATACACATGTATATATATATATATATACATGCCCCCAAAACAAAACAAAACAAAAACTCGAAAATCCGTATGGTTTCTCGGTTTTTCATCTCGCTATGAAGATCTGAAGGAAGCATGCGTTCTGACCTATCTCAACAGGGAAGAAGCGCGTTTTCGAGGCTGGCCGCCAGGGTGCCAACACCCGCATCGGCGCCAAGCGCGTGCACACCATCCGCACCCGCGGCGGTAACACCAAGCACCGTGCCCTGCGCCTCGAGACCGGCAACTTCGCCTGGGGCTCTGAGGGCTGCACCCGCAAGACCCGTATCATCGGCGTCAGCTACCACCCGTCCAACAACGAGCTGGTCCGCACCAACACCCTGACCAAGAGCGCCGTCGTCCAGGTCGACGCCGCCCCCTTCCGCCAGTGGTACGAGGCCCACTACGGCCAGTCCCTCGGTCGTCGCCGCCAGCGCGCCCAGGCCGCCAAGGAGGGCAAGGCCGAGGACCAGGAGGAGACCAAGAGCAAGTCGGTCGAGAAGAAGCAGGCCGCCCGCTTCGCCAAGCAGGGCAAGGTCGACTCCGTCATCGAGAAGCAGTTCGAGGCCGGTCGCCTCCTCGCCGTCGTCTCTAGCCGCCCTGGCCAGTCCGGCCGCTGCGACGGTTACATCCTCGAGGGCGAGGAGCTCGCCTTCTACCAGCGCAAGCTCCACAAGTAAACCTCGACAAAATTCTATATCATACACACAATGTCAAACCAAACAAAGAAAAAAAATTGAAACAATGCTGTGTTTTTTATTTTAATGAAGAACGTGTTCATGTTTGTCGCTTAGGGTCGGAGTAGTAAAATAAAAAAGGGCCGGGCTCCTTGCAATCCCAACAGGTACAGAAAAAAAAAGCCACACTTTGGGTTGCAGGTGAAGAAAAAAGTTTGAGAGGAGAGGGGGGGGGAAACAAGGAGGAACCAGGTTCTCGCTGCGATATTCTGGCTGATTCCTCGGTCTGGTGTTCAAGGAATTTTCTCTTTCCCTTCTTTGTCTGGCAAGTCTTTCTTGGCTCTTCTGCCACATCCAAAAAATAAAAAATGAAAATAAAATTATGCAAGCATCACGGAACGGGGGTCCATGAGGAATATATTGAAAGAAAAATTCCATTCACCTAAACTGCAAAATCCTTGCTCTTTTGTGTGTATATATATTCTTTTGTATATATGTATATATATATATATACATGTGTGTGTGTGTGTGTGTGTGTGTGTGTGTGTCCTCTGATGTCTGATTTCCTTTTCCATCTTCCTCTCTGCAACATCTTGGAGGAGATGTTCCCCTTTACAACGTAGCAGAACCTGGCAAGTATGAGGATCTAGATCTGCAAATTCATGGTAGAGATATTTCCATATAACCGTGCTATGAGGTACTACTAGTAATAATATAAAAGTTCCTTGTGAGAGTATGTTCTTTCAGCTTGAAAGGGGGGAAGGGTTGTCTTTGTATCATAATCATCCACAATGCCCTTTTTTTTGTTCTTTTTCTTTTCTTTCCTTCTCTCTCTGTAACAAAAGTGTCTTGAATTCGAGAATCAAAAAAAATCTTGCAGCCACAAAAAAGGGTTCTTCTTCTGATTTTTTATGTATTTTTTATCATGAGGGTTTTTTTCTGGTATCATACCTTCTTTTCCCCTTCCAAAATCTTTTCTCACTTTCGCCCTTGACTTGACCCCGCCATGCATGGAAATACCTTTATATACACATGCATTGCTGTATTTGTGAATAGGCAGGGGGGGGAGGTAGAAGAGACAGGAATAGAGAAGGAGAAAATACATACCTCTGCATATCGCATCTTAGTCTGGACCAGCTGATCCTCGAGATCCTGCAGCGTCTTCTCGAGCTCCTGATTCTCGTCGTGCACCTTGACATTACGCTTGAGCAGATCGTCCCTCTCGAGCTTCCACTTCTCATCGAGCTCCTGTGGCTGCTTGTCGATGACAACCTTCAGCTCGTGGACCTGCGTCTTGAGACTCTCGTTCTCGTCCTTCAGCTCCTCATTCTCCACCTTGGTGTGGACCAGCTCCGTGGCCAGGGCGGCCTGCTCGCGGTCGCACACTTCGACGCGCTCCTCGAGGTAGCGCACCTTGGAGGTGAGGTGCTGGTTGGACTTGCGGAGATCGTAGAGCTCCGTCTCGCGCTCCTTCTCCAGACGCGTCTTCTCCTCCCACTCGGCCTTGTAGGCCTTGAGGGTCTCGGGGGCGATCTTGACGTCGCACGCGTCGCGGACCAGCTGGTCGGCCCGGTACACCTCCTTCTCCATGCTGGAGCTGGACGAGCCGAAGAAGCCGCTCTCGAGCAGGCTGCCCTGGCTGGGGTCCTTGTCGATGTACACGTCGAACAGCTTGTCCTTGAGATAGGCCGTCAGCTGCTGCATGTCCGAGATGCCCAGCAGCGTCGTCGCGTTCTTCTGCATCAGCACCACGCCGAACCGGAGGATGGCTGACAGGCCCTCGGACAGGATCAGGTCGTAGATCCGGAGGACGAGCTGCAGCGGGAACCGGTACGAGAAGAGCGTCAGGAACCACTGCGTCGCGTACAGGTGCGGCGAGATGCCCCGTCGGTGCAGGTGGCAATACAGCGCCGGCACGAAGTCCTCCAACAGACGCTCGAATAGGTACAGGTTCATGTGCAGGCCCGGCATGTCCTGGATGAACAGGTCGCGGAGGCCGTAGTGCTGCATCAGCCGCACCAGCAGGCAGAAGGCCTCTTGCTCGGGCATCTGGAGGTAAAAACATCGTCAGCGTTCCAAGTCTCGGGTCCCATCATCCTCCGAAAAGGGCAGCCACTCACGTTGAAGAGAAGGGGCATGATGAGGAAGTTCATGCCCTGCGCGTAGCCGACTCCTTCGTCGTAGAGCGCAAACGCCTTGCACACGCCATACAGCCCGTCCTGCAGTCCTGCCGCGGCCGCGTACTTGGAGAAGCTCGTACGTGCACCTAGGTCCCGCCTGATGGCCTTCTCGAGCTTCTGCAGCGCCGCAGCCTCCTCCTTCTCTTTCTTCTTCCTCTCCGCCGAGGCGGCCGCCTGCGCCTTGAGCATAGCCTCCTGGCTCTTCTCAGCCTGCGGCGACAGCTGCTCCGAGTGGATAGATGACGCCGATGAGGGCACCCCGTCGGCACCGTGGACGCTGAGGTTGCCGTTGCTGATGGCACTGCTCGTCGTGCTGTTGCTATTCCTCGACCTGTCCTTCTCGGTGCCCCGCGCGACCAGCTCCCGATAGGTGAGTTCTAGCTCGTCATTCCTGCTCTGTGCCAGCACCTGCCAGATGACACCTCGGATGGCGCTCGGGATACCTGTGGCGATGGCCCTGTTGAGCTCGTCGGCACTTGAACGGGCCACGGCGGCGGGGCCCTCGTACACGACCGACTGCCAGAGGTCCCAGTCGACCTCGGCATCCGACGGACCAGCGTTGACGCCGGACATGGTACCAGGGAGCAGACTGCCGTCGGGCTCGGGGACGTTGGAAATCTCACCCTGGGAGGAGACGTCTCGTCCAGAGTCGCCGTCGCCATTGACCGCCTCCACCCCCATCGCGGTGGTGATGCCGGCCTCCTCACGCATGCGCAACATCTTGAACCTATCCTTCAGGCTAGCCCTCCTGTTGGGCTCGCCTTCCTCATCCAATCTGCTCAGCATCGTCTCGGGGTTACTAGTCAGGGTAACCACTGAGCTGGCCGTGTTTCTTCTGGTAGACGTTCCGGTCGTCGCGGCTGCTTCCTTTTCCTTGCTTGACGATCGAGAGAGCCAGGAGAAGGGGCTCGTGAGTTTTCGGCTCGGGGGCGGCGGGGGAGCGGACGACGCAGAGGTTTGAGCTGGTGGCGTGACGGAAGGGTTCGGGCTGCGTACAGGAGATTCGGACGGCGACCATGGCATGGTCGGCAGGGCACTGGCTATGCTGTTCAGGGACAGCGTCTTGCTCGGCGGAGCTTCATCGGCGGCCGTGCCCTTGGGTTCTGTGATGAGAGTCAGTCTTGACTGCCCTCCGCCGGGGTGTTGAAGGGTTAGTGAATATTACCATTGGCCGCCGCGGGTGCAGCATTGGTGTCGTCGTCGTCGGTCAGATTAACATTGTCTAGGTTTGACGTGTTGGAGAGTCTGTTGGCGGAGAAGGACGATGTGTTCGGGCTGTCTGCCTCGGCACCATCGTCCGTCAGAGGCTTGCTGTCCTTGCCAGTGGTCGTGGCTCCTTCCAGGACTGTATGATTCTTCTCGTCTTCCTCCACCTCTGTCTTGCCACCAGTGGCCCCATCCAGCTGGTCACCCTTGCCGTCCTCGACAGGCTCTTCGGAGGGGTCCGGTTTCGAGGTGGACACGGGGCGTTTGGTAAGCGACCTCGCGGGGCCATCCTCGACGGCGTCTTCGTATGCATCTTGCTCGGCAGCCTGCATTGTTCTCAGCATGATGTGTGACCCAAGGCCTTGGCGCACCAAGGCTGCAGGTTGTATGCATCTCGAAGGGGGCAGGAGTTCATGGGGTTCCCCCCCCCCCC